GTTCAAAACAAATGCAAAGGTCCATGGAGACCCTCACCAATCATTTCTGATGCCATTTGATCCTTGAGGGAAAAGGCCAGTGCAGACAAGAGAGCTGGGAGTCCCAGATCCTTCTTACATCTTTGCCCCATGCTGCACTCATCTTCTCTCCTGTTGTCAAAAAAATACTCATAGAGAAATATTTCACTGTTGATCTCTGTCCTGCTCCTGTCACCCTGTGCCAGACTGTTCTAGTTCATTCCATATGTACCTGTCCCTGCACACCCATGGGATTGCTCTCAGGGTGCCTTGCCCAGCTGGCATTTTGCTCTAAGCTTTGTTTGTCTTCTTGTCCTGCTTTTGCCATTGTACATTGGTGTAGCAGCTCTTCCTTAGAGCATCACCAGCCAAGAGGGCTTTTCCAGGGGCTGTTATAACTAAGGGTTGTGTGTGGGAATGCTGTGATAAAAGGCCTCTTCAAGTTTGAATGAAATAGCACAGTTTGAAATGCAAAATAAGCCCTGATGAAGAGCACTGGACTTGGAGCACGTTCACAAAGACACCATCCCTCTCCTGTTGCTGCTGCGTATCTGCAAGAGGAGAAGAGCTGGAGCTGAAATTCTGCAAGACGTGTTTACTCTTTGATTTCTACTACGTGGAAATGAGATGAAATTAATTCCCTCAGCAATCGCTTTGACTGCAGACTCAGGGAAGTGCAATTTCTGGTACAGAAGTGCAGATAGTCAGATGGGTCGTGGATGCCCTCAGTCTTCACGCCAGAGCAGGGCTTCTTAGCTCAGAGATGACCTAACACGAGTGCAAGGAAAACCCAGCAGCATCAGCCCTGGTTTACTGCAAACTTGCCCAATGGTTCCACTGGAGGAAGGGACACGGGGGTGTGTCAGGACTGGTGGTTTATATCAACACAGGACCTGTATGTATCCCAATGTACTGGGGAGATTCTCCGGAAATTGCTCTTTCCCATCTGCAGTGTGACTGAGGGTCAAAAGAGGAAAATAACTAATCCAACTATTCCAAGGACTGTGTTGTTGTGCACTCATCTCCTGGAGACATTAAGTTATGGCAAAAACACCACTGTCTGCCTCATATTAAAACTGATTCTTGGCCTCTGTCTGGAAGGGTCAGCTTGGAAACACCCTCTGTATTCATCTCAGATTCCCAAGAGGTGAAGAAAATGTGTAATGGTTTAGAGGCTGCTTTAATCCTTTGGGGTTTTTCCCTCTGCCTTGTGGGTTTGGGACTCCTGGATCCTGGCCCTGCAGTAATGCAGCATGAGTTGTTTTAGGGTACTAATAAATGTTCCTTTGGTTTTCTGTTATGCACTATCACAGCTTGTTCTGAAAGAGCTCCTGTGCCAGAGAGACAGCCCCTGGGACAGAGAGATCTTAAATGCAAATTTCAGAAGGGACTTGTGCTGTGGGAACTTTGGTGTCACCATGCTGCTGTGTCTTGCTGGAAAATTCCAGGGACGGGGAGCTCAGATGGTGCAGGCAATTCTGTGGTTGCTCTGTGAGCCTCAGGCAGCCGTCCTGGCTCTGCCTCATTCCTACCATGTCCTGGAATGCAAGGAAAGCCCATGGGGGTTCGATGCTGCACACATACTCACAGCCACAGCCTGGGAGAGGAGTGAGAAGCAGGGACCACATGGAAGGGTCCAGCAGGAGCAGGGAGACACCAGTGCCTGTCCCAGATTGCAGGATAAATGGTGCAGTTGCCTGACCCTCCTCCTGTGCACCGACCAAGCCCTGCCACGTGTGTGCAGGACCCTGGGCAGGGGCTTTGTAGCAGGCAGAAGGTTGTGATGGAGACCAGCCACACTCTAAGAATAGCCTGTGTTATTTTCACATCCTTGCTGTTTCTCAAACACCATTAGAAGGCAATCCTTTCCTCCAGGATTGCAGTCTCATCCCAGGGACAAATTTGCCTCAGCAATTTTTGCTGATTGGAAATTCACCTAGAGAGCAGATTTGCCATTTGTGCTGCCTACCCATCTTCCCAGCAGCCTTGTGCAGCAGAAACAGCAGCAGTGCAGAAGTCTACCCAACACAGGGCACTTGTTCACACCCCGAAATGATCACTTGGAAAACTGCCTAATACCACCACCTCCTGGCAGAGGCACTTAAAGCCCCGTCATTCTGTTTCATTCTGTGAAGTCCTGTTAGTGTTGTATCTAAGCATCAGAAATTTGTTTATTTTAATTGGCACGCACATTTCTTTTTGTGATGGAGAATTATTCTGTGGGGCTTTGAGGAGTGCCACATATGGCAAGCCAGAGTACACACACAGGAAGTTTATGTCTTGATGTCTCTGCTGCCCTATGAATTTAAGAAGGCACCTCTCTTAATTAACTTTCCTGAGGAGATTTTTCCTACTTGAGGCCAGGATGCAGTGTACATTATAATGGGAGCCGTCAGGAAAATTATTGATTTTGTTAGTAATGTTTCTGAAATTGTGCCATTCTGGTAATTCTATTAGGTTCTCTTGGAAAGCTTAACTGAGAGCATTTTTATATCCTTGATTAGTTTTTTAATACATGATAATTTCCCCTAACTCATCAACACAAAGCAAGATTAGCTGCCTGCTTGGTAACCATTTTTCCTATGTACAAACCTACTGCAGCAATAATTACAACCTGAAAAAATTATTACAGATATTCATTATAAAATACGATTACAATGAGCCGTGCCGCATTGTTACACTTTCACAGCCATCACTTGCTCTTGAGTAAATGGTTTCATTAAAAGCATGAAGGACAAACTTAATACACTTCTGACTCACAGCAAACAGGACAAGAAATCATCCTGGCTGCTTCTCTGAGTGCTTGAGGTGTTTACCCTGGATGAGTAGAAAATGTTGACTCTGCTGCCAAATACTTGTAGCTTAACAGAGGGGCTCTGGGTGGCAAGTGCAGATGTGCAAGAAGAGGAGAAAGACAGAAATCGTGGCAGTGTGAGCTCAATTTCACTCCCCTAGAGTGTGGCTTTCTTCTATGTTTATGTGTTTCAGAGCTGGGATTTGCCAGGAACATCAGATCCTCCTTCATCATATCTTGGAGCAGCCTTGGGGCTGCTTCAGCTTCTGCTGGGTGCTCGTGGAAAGTGCAGAGGAGCCAGGGATGGGATCATTTCTTCAAAGGACAGGGCATTCAGGTTTGGGCAGGGAGGGAGCAATGGGAAAGCTTGTTTAAATAAAAGCATTGACAGGAGGGAAGTGCTGTCAAGTGAGTGTGGGGGAAAAGCAAACCCAGCCGGAAGGCCAGCAGCAAGTACAGGACTGCAGTCACTGACTTGGCTTTTTGTTTTGTTCTGTTACTCCTTCTTATTTTTTGTCTGGATCAAGATGAGAGCCAGGAGGAGGTCCTGTCCTCACAGCAGTGCCATGACAGTGAGCAGAGCCTCCAGGGAGGAGCAGAGACCACTGGATTTCTGTCCTATTGTCTTTGCAATGACTTTGCACTGTAGGAAGGACCACAGCAGCACAGGTCCACCCCATGTTTGTACCCCAGGTTTGGCCACTTCCTGGTGAGCGGCTTTCAGCCAGTAGTTTCTGTGAGTCCCTGAAAAGACCTGGAAAACTTCTGTGCTATTTTTTTTTTCCCTGGAAGAGCAATTTTTACTTTATTGGGTGGCTCAAGGAGAAAATTTCTCTCCTGGTGGCCACAGCCTCCTGTGAGGTTTTCAGCTTCTGTGGTGTGTGCTTGTGACTGTGCTCTGAGCAGTGACTCTGCCTTTGGACCTGTCCTGATGATGTTCCAGGGGCAAATTCAGCAACTCCTGGGTCATGTGAGAGGGAATTGCAGTTCAGCTCTCTAATGGGAGAGGACTAAACCTTGAAGGCTTGGGAAAGGATGTGCTGCTTGTAAAGTAAAATTTAAGAGGTAAAAATTTCACCATCAGTGAAGCTTTCCATGTGCCTGCCCTAACCAGAAAGGCCATTTTTCCTTTGCATTCCTTTCATAGAAAAAGTCCTAACTCCAACGTCCCTTTCAAGCTTGTAAATTAGAACTTCCAAAGCCCAAACTGAGCAGCTGATCATGATGTTGTTCATGAATCTGCTGAGCCTGGGGAGACAGAACCTCTTCCATTCCCAAGCTTGAGCAGTGGATCGTGCTTCCAGGGGCTTGGTCTGTGCTGGTTCTCAGTGCCCATGCAATGTGTGCAAGCTGCCAAGGGGCTTTTCTATACCACAGGTTTTTGGAAAGGGACATGCTTTGCCAAGACACCTCTGGGGGTGGTTGGCCCAGGCTGTATCATGCCCAGCCATGGCCTCTGGCCATGCCAGGGAGGGTGGCACCTGCAGTCTGCTGGTGCTTTGTGGTCCGTGCCCATCCTGAGGCAATCTTGGCCCATTGGCTCCTGCCCTTTGCTTTTGACTGTGCTGTCCCTCCAGCCTGTGCCACCAAAACCACTGTTTTCTGTCCACAGCCCCCTTTTCCTTCTCTTTCCACCCTCCTCCTCTATCTTCTTGTCCATCTGCTGTTCTGCTCCCTGTTTCTTCTCCTTCCTTTTCCCCCCTTACTCTTGAATCTCTATTTCTTCTTCTCTGTTCCAGCAAAACGATATCAATCAAGGTGATAGATGATGAGGAGTATGAGAAAAACAAGACCTTCTACCTAGAGATCGGGGAGCCCCGGCTGGTGGAGATGAGTGAGAAGAAAGGTGGGGGATGTGCTCTGAGGCTGAGCCCAGCCTGTATGTCCCTGTCTGGCTCACTCATGTCTGACACCTGCAACACCGAGCTCACATCACTGGTGCCTATGGAAAAGGGCAGGAGCAAGGCCACTCCCCGTCCCCCCTGAGCACAGCCTTTCCCCAGACCATCAAGGCACGACCTCAGCCAGGTGATGAGGATGCTCCTGCCCTTCCCCATATGCCCCAGGGGGAATGTGCAGCCCCTTTCCCCCACCCAACCATCTCTGTCACCACAGCACCCAGGCGGACGTGACCTGCATGTGTGTGCGACGCCAATCATGTGTTTGCCTTTGTCTTGTGTTCCCACAGGAAATTCATTACCCTTAGAGTACTTGACCGTGAGGAGTATGAGAAAGAGTGCAGTTTCTTCCTTGTGCTTGGGGACCCGGTGTGGCTACGACGAGGAGTGAAAGGTGTGAGAGTAAAACCAGACCAGCTCTCGAGACGCTGCCGCTTTCTCTGTGTCTCCCTACTCTCACACTCCTTTCTCCTCGCACTTTGGCTCCTCGTTTTGCCCTCCCTCCTTCGAAGCTTGGCCGCTGCACCTTTTTGCTCTGTTTTCTTTCCTCTTTCATTTTGAGAGGGTTCCATCCCGCTCAGCGGGGCCCCAGGGAGTGAGGAGTGCTCCTGGGACTACCCTGGAGCTCTCAGGCAGGCGATGGGGAGCATCACCAGCCCCCAGAGACATTTTGGGAGTGCTGCCTGCTGCACCTTCGTTTAATCAAAGAGAACATCCAGCCTCGACAAGTGAAAAGGGCAGCGCTACATCATTTTTATCAGAAGATAAAGCAACTTTTGCTTGAAATAAAATGCATGGCCGGAGCAGTAATTTTAGTCTTTTCATACTGGCACTAGGATTTGAAAATAGACAAGAATCACAGTCCAAGTAGGTAATACCATGAGATGCAATCAGTTTAGGTAAATCAGGTTATGTTCAAATGAAGTTTCATGGCTCTGCATTGGATAATAGCTTCTCACAGGAATAATAAAAACTATTTCCTCTCTCATCACATTTCTAAACCAAATGCCAAACTTCCCAAAAAGACAGAGTTCACCTATTTTCCCATGCATTTTTTCTGCTAGAAAATTAAGTGAGGATTAATGGCAACAGCTGGTTCTGCACACTACTGGTGGCTGAGCAAGAAGCAGTTTTAGAGTTATTTAAGGGATGGACCATTATTAAAGCCTTAGCAGAAGATTTGGTCTGTCTATCTTGGAGCTTCTTTCCAGTTTCTGGGACATCAGCTCTCCTTCCAGCAGGCATTAAGCTGTAATATTTATTTGATCAGACCAGAGAGGGCCCTCAGTGGTCCCCCACACTGAATGGGAACATGCCACATTCCTCTTCAGCTCAGGTGCTAAATCAGCTTCCCTGCTGGTTTATGTGACTACCTAACAAAAGCTGGGCTAAAAAATCAGACACTGGCATGACTCAGGCACTGCAGGTGGGGTCTATGTCATTAAATGGTGCTGGTGGCATCTCTGGAGCATAGACAGCACTGCCAGGATAAAGTTACACATGGATGACTCAGCTCAGCAGCTCCATCCTTGCCCACAGGGGCCAGTATGGGCTCAGCCTTGCAAATCCAGCAGGAGCAAACATGCTTTCCAGATCCAAGGTTTAAAATTTGTGGTCCCAGCTCTGGAGATCCCAGCTGAAATTTTAAATTAAAAATAAAAGGAAAAGGAAAAAAAAAATCTCATATTCCTAGTCACAAAGATAAGTGGAGAAACCTGAGAGAAGTTCAGGCTTGCCAGCTCGCTAGGTGGAATGCAAGAGAAAACTTTAAAAGACTATTTAAAGCAGCTATTTGCTGCTTTGGTCATGCAATCTTTTTTTTCTTTCTTTTTTTTTTAAACTTGTTTCTTTGTACTTGGTCTGGTACAAGAAGCAGCGAGGCAGGAGGAACAGTGTGCTTAGAGAGATGAGGACATTTCTGAAATGTCACCCCTGGGCTGTGGTGGGGCCCAAGATCCACTAGAACAGTAAGGGAGAGACTTTTTCTTTCGGTTTGGAGATCTGAAACGTTGAGCAACAAGACCCTTAAGCCAAGCCTTGCCACAAACTTTTCTTCTCTCATTGTCTATGCCAAAAGTGCAGCTGCCACTGGAGCCATTGCTCCCCATCAGACAGCTGGAGGAGGTCAAAGCCAGTAGCTGCTGCACATGGGACATTTTGTATACCCCCCAGGACAGAACTGCCTGTGAGACCAATGGAAGATCTTGCACATACAATTCAAAGGGGAAAAATGAATTTTTTGGAGTCTTTTAACCCCATATCCAACCCATATCTGCAATGGTTTTTATTTTAAATCCACAATCCCATGAAACATTTCTGTTTAGTGTCTTTCTCTTAACACTAATGTTATCTTGCAGCTTTACAGATATGAAATCTCTGCCCTGGGATCTGGTGTCTTTCTGTGGATATCCGTTTTGATTTCATTATTCATTTACTTTTCTTCTTCTGTGTTTGTCTCTGTCTCCTTCACAGCCCTGTTGTTGAATGAGCTTGGTAAGCGCGCATTCATTTTTCCTTTCCATTTTTCTGGTTTGCGTATTTTTGGAAGACAATAGATTTTGCTTGATGTTTTTCTTTGCTCACAGCATTCTTTTTTAGGGTGGTCAGCACTGTTTAAGTAAGCTCAGGTACCTAATGCCCCATCTTTCCTTAGAGTAGAGCCCCAAAGTATTATTAATATTATATTATAAATATTATATATATGTAATATATATAATATATACATTAATATTATAAATATTAAGAGGTGATGCAAGGACCATTTTTGGGAGGGTAATGCTGTTACAGCCGGAGTAAATCTGACAGCACTCCCGAGATAAAAACCTGTGCCATGCAAATTAACCCATCACCTCTAAACTGGTGTGGCAGAAACAGGATTTTCTGGCCACTTGGGGATGCTTGTGGCTGGACAGGAAAGTTGGCCAATCCTTTTTGAAGAGACAGTACAAACTTTGCCTCCTGTCTTGGGGAGACTTAGAGCCTAAACAGCCTTTGTATTTCCTTGCTGGCCACCTCCAGGATAGGGCAGCTGGGGAGGGAACCCAATCTACCCTCGTTCTCCAAAGTACTCACAGCCCCAGGGCAGACTTTACCCCTTCCACAGCATATATTGGACACCAAGAGGTGGCAGCTTGCAGATGTGGGTTGAAAAGCCTTTGTTCAGGTCCCCCCCACCCCTATCCCTGAAGTGTGTGTTGGGGAGCAGGCCCCATGTCCACAGCAGGGCAGGGAAGGACCACCATGTCTGTGTTGATGTGCAAATGCTAATTCTCATTTATTCTCTCTCTCTCTCTGCCTTTTTCTCATTTTTGGTTTCATCTAGGTGGCTTCACCATCACAGGTATGGATTTCTACTCTTCCCCGTCCCCCTGTTCCTTTCTCTTAATGGCCATTATATTCTCTTAATGGCTCACCCTGCTCTTTCCTCTTGGTTTCCTCTTTGCTTTTGTTCTGTCCTGGAGGGAAACTCTGGAATGGTAAGACGGCGCAGAGCCCTGGCTGGTCCCATTAACAGCGTGTTCTCTCACAGAGTGCTCTGCCTGCCACTCACACTTAACCCCATCTTGGGGAGGGTGACCTGTCACCCCCCCAGGTGACAAGCAACTCCACTCCATGTCTTGGAGCAGGGTGGGCTTCTCCATTTGATCCAGTTGTGCTGTACCTATGCACAGGGCTCTTTCCTCACTACCCTAGCCTAAGACAGGTGCCTGAGCATTGCGGGAGGTGCAGGAGCCCATGGCTGCTTCAGATGTGCAGCCCCTGCCCTTCCCAGCAGCCAGACCCAGCAGCAGGGCTGGCTCCTCTGTCACAAGCTAGCCAAGCTTCCCTTCCCAAGCACAAGACAAGAAGGTCCTGACTCCCACGCGTTGCAGAGCCGCCCCTCAGGAGCCGTGGAAGCAATTCAGATTTAGAAGGCTCTGGCTCCAAGGTGGGTCTCTCTGGCCTGCAAGAGGAGAAGGGCTTTCCCTCAACTCAGTGCCACCTGAGGAGACAAGGGGCAGCCAGCAAGGGAGCAGCACTAACCCCGTGTGACATAAGAATGGAGTTTACTAACTGCACGGGGACAGATTGTACAGTGTGTGCAGTCCCCCCGCTGATCTCCTGCTGATCACTTTAATAGGCAAACCTGTCTTCAGGAAGGTCCAGGCTAGAGATCATCCTGTTCCTTGCACCGTGGTCTCCATCCAAGGTACCTGTGGTGTGGTACCATGTCAGTCTCAGGTCGACTGTCTGGGTTGTTTGCCTACTGACAGATTAACTCCAGTCCATTTTAGCCCTTATGTCCTTCTGCCCATCCTTGAGGTGGACTGGGAGGGAGTTCACTGGGGTCTGCACAAGGAACAGTTACAAAGGGCATGCTGCCTGCAGTCCCCATGCCCCAGAGGTTTCACAGATGACAGTGGAGGTGCAGACCTGCTTCACTGCTCTTTTAGTGTTTGGTGCTGTGGATGGCTTCTTACATCTGTGCTATTTCCTCCAGCCCCACCATCACAGCAGGCATTGGCTGCCAGCACTCCTGTCCAAGGCAAAGCCCTGCCCTGAAGGAGGAAGAGCCAAGATTTCATATGTGGCTCAGCCCTGGGGCTGCTGACAGTTCTCTCTTGTTATATCAGGGCAGGAATTGTTATATCAGGGTGGAATTGCCTTGACCATACCTCAGTGCAAACCTGGAGTGCTGGGGGATGGAGCATCCTTAGTGCTGATCTTTCCCCTTCCCAGGGTCCCTGTGAGAGAGGCAGCAATTACCCAGCAAATAAGCTATTCCCCAACCCAAAGATGAGCAGAACTCCTCCTGAGGCTGGATGAGTTGCAGACCTCTTGGTAGCATTTCATAAAATTATGCTGTCTGTTGCTCCATGAACTCCTTCTCCACTGTTCTGTCACTGACACTCCCACCTGGAGGCCTCCTGACCTCCCCCTCCAACATAAAGCCAGATCCAGAGTGACCAGCTGGGCCTGGTTCACCCACAGGCTCTTTGCTTTGCAGAAGAGAATGAAGAGAAGCAGCCACTGACCAGCAAGGAGGAGGAAGAGCGTCGGATTGCAGAGATGGGGCGCCCTGTCCTGGGGGAGCATACGAAACTCGAGATCATCATTGAGGAATCCTATGAGTTCAAGGTACTGTTCATATCCTGCATCCCTGTTCTTCTTCCCCCCTAGCTGGGGACCCTCTTTTTGGATTTGCACAGCACTGGGAGGCACAAGTTGATGGTATTGGAGCCAAGTGAGGCAGTGAATTGGAATCACACACAAAACAGGATCTGGAATCCCAAATGCTGCAGGTTGCTTTAAAACATGACCGTGTTCTCAAAGTGAGTTTTACACTCTGGTCCTGCCTTGAGTGAGCCCCAAGGCTGGCACTCCCAGTGCAAAGGTCTCATAACCCCAAATGCAAGTAATGGTTGTGCAGTTCAGCTGCCATGAATGCATATGCCAGGCCAAGAGCTGAAAACTGGCCATTTCATGATCTTTCCCATTTTTCTGTAGTACAAAAATACAACTGGCCACCCTTACTGTTGCTCTGAGATGGTTCAAACTCCTATCCATGAGCAGGTTTCCAGAGGTCCTTTTCAGTAGAAAAGGAAGTGCAAGTATTTACATTTGGGTTTGCTGCTGGGGCTCTTTAGCTTAAAATCTGCTGAGCTTGTTCCATAAACACATGGCCATAAGCACTGGCACTGATGGGTTTTAGCCCAGTATATCCAGCCCCTAATTCTCTACTCTGCATCTTCATCCACAGAACACAGTGGACAAGCTCATTAAGAAGACAAACCTGGCCCTGGTGGTTGGCACAAACAGCTGGAGGGAGCAGTTTATCGAGGCCATTACTGTCAGCGCGGGTGAGTTTGGGCCACAGCTCCAGGTGAATTACGATCACCCTCGCTTGGCTGTATCACTAGCACAGACTGCAGTGGAGCAGCAGGAGGCAAAACAGGTGGCAAAGTTATTTACAGCGTCTGCATAAATAAGGCAGCTGATTAAACCCTTTTGTGAGGGCACTTTGTCTCATGTGTAGGAAACCTTCTGCATGAAGCGTGTCTGTAGCACCAGACAGAGCAACAACTTGGCTGGTAGCCGACAGCAGAGGGTGAAAAGTCAGTTCAGTGGGAGAAATCTGAGAGGTGAACACAGTGTGGAAATTCAGAGTGCCATAAATTATGCTGGTGTGAAGTAACAGTGCTCCCCTTCCCTGGTTCTCTCCTCTGTGGTGAGGACAATGCAATAGGCAGGATGCAAACCCTGAAGGCAGTCACTCTCTGTGAGCCAAAATTTGCCCTTGACACACCCTCCTTTCTGGAACTCCTGCTGCCCCAGCTGTGGCTGGAGGATTATGGCTCAGCAGCCCAATAGCTGCAGCTGCATATCATATCTGCGGTCGAACCAGATCCTGTGTGATCTTACCTTCCCTCCCTTTGAGAATTGCCTTTCCCTCAAATGCCCTGTCATACCCTTCTTGCAGGTGCCAGTGCCACGTTTATCAGAATGCCCAGTACAGGATATATTATCATACCCATGTATGTGGAAGAAGAAAGAAAGAAGGTCTCCTCCAGATGTTGTTTCAACAGCTGGAAACACTATTACTTACTGGCTGGATGTTGCAACCTCACAGCCCAACTTGGGCTGTGTGCACACATTAGGGCAAAATCCACCATCTTAAATGAAATCCCTGGGGAAGGCAATTACCTCTCATCTGGCCAGTTGTGCACTGAAATGCATGGGGGAGCACTCAGCTTCCTACCTCTAACTCTGCTATACAAGATAACCTCTGCCCAGCACCGGGTAGTTAAAAATGAGGGCAGTACCATTTACCTTCTGCCTCTGGAAAACGAGGGCAGAACCCTGTGCAACAGCTTTCTCCTCAGATTGTGATCCCTCCTCTTGTAGCACAGCTCTTCTCAGAGTCTCCAAGCAAAATCCTCACATTATTTTGCATTCAGCGTGAACTTATCATGCAAGACAATCCTTGCTGCAGGTTTTGTAGCTAATATGGCTAAACTAATCTATGCCAGAACCAATTATGTAATTGCATCCCATGTTAAAGCCACTGATGGTTGGATCCTATTTCTGTGATGCATGTAAAGACTACAGTTATGTGGAGACCTTGTTGCCCCCATGTCTTGAATATACAGCCATGATCAGAGCTATCAGATGATTAACAAGCATTTCATAAATGAGATGTATTTAGGTGGACATGAGCTTTCTCTTGCAGTTGTGGATCAGTAGTTTGTCTCAGAGCTCTGGAGGTACCCTGGCTTTAGCTCCTTAAGCTTTGTGCCAGATAAGTTAAAATGCCTTAAATGCTGGAGGTTGGGTTTGAGTTTTTTCCCATACAGCTCACCCTGCATACCAGGTGAAAGTCACCTGTCACCACTTCAAAATGTAACATCCCAGCTGAGAAAAGAAACATTAAACTCCCATTTTCCACTCAATGATCAACTCAGGGAAGTGTTTGCAGGGGGATGGAGCAGCAGAAGGTGAAGTCTGTGGAAGAGCAGTGCAGGTGCAGACAAGGCTGTGCCATGTTGTGCTGTGCCATTCTGGGCTGTCCAGAGTCTGTCACTCAGCTCCTTTAGTATGCACCCAAAAGCTATAAAGTTTCTTCCACAGCAAAAACATTCTGGGACCTACAGGCCTGTTTCTGAATGCACCCCTAGGTCACCATCCAACACCGCTCTGTGTTTCAAGTCACCTCCACAAGATCTGGCCAGCTCTTCAAAAGAGAGACATCGTGGCTGCTTAACAAAATGACAGACAGATCTGGATGAGTGTTATGACAGTGGCATTCATGTTTGGTTTTCAGTCTGTTTCATCATCTCTGTAAAGATTTAGGTCCATAGCAGCCCTGATGCCACGCCGATCTTGACAGACGATTGAAATACCTGCTGCAGAATTACAGCATGAGCACAGCATTGCATATCCTGTCATTAGCAGCCTTTGCATGTTGAGGGAAAACACAGGCCAACATAGGCTTTCCAGGCTGGAAAACTGTTCCTTATCTTCACAACAATGCACAGGAATAGGTATTTATATCTGCCAAAATAATAACACTGATTAGCTACTGTTTTGTGCCATAGTGAGTTTGAAGCTCTAAAGCTTGCATCCTTCTATTGCTAAGGAGCTTCTTCCAACAGCCGTGCAGGAAGACCTGCTGGTTCACATCCTTGGTGGGAAAAAAAACCAAAACATCAAAGACGTGGAAAATCACCAGATAAATTGCAAGGGATGTCTTTAACATGACTTACAGTGGCCTTGGAATACTAAACATTCATGACTTAGAAATTCAGCCTTGTTTCTTAAGGGCAGCAGGAAAGCTCCCACTGACTTAGTTGGGAAAGTGTCACCTCCCTTTCAAGTCCAGGAGTGGTTCCAGTGTGAGCAGGAGGAATTTCTGACTATGCCACAACAGTGATGTTGTGCACTGTGCCAGGCTGGGAAAGCCCCACATTTGCCATGCAGCCTGCCGAAGGCACAGGTTGTGTCTCCAGACAGCTCCTCAGAGCTGCAGGAGTCAGGTAAGGGGTCACCAGCCAGAGTGGGCTCCCTGGTGGGGTCAGTCCCACACCGTGGGGACTCCCTGTAGGCTGATGCCCAAGTGGTTTTGCAGACAGGTGAGGTGCCAATGCCTGGAGCAGGAAAGGGAGTTCCCACTGACCTTGGAGAGACCAGACATCAAGGAATGAGCTTATAGGGAAGCATGTGAAGGGGCAAGGAAATGTACCAGGGAAGGACAGCCAGCAGTGATTGAGCAGGGAGGCTTTAGGTTAGACAAAAATCCATTACTTGATCCCAGCTTGCAGCAGAGGTAAGGTGAAGCACCAGAGCAGCTCAGCAAGCATCAAAGCCAGCTGCCTTTCCCGAGAGCTGGAAGCAATTGAAGGCACTTGTGGAAAGCATCTCAGAGCAGCTCAAAAGATGCTTCCCTATGGGAGTGTTCACGAGACAGGAGTTGCTCTCAGTGGGTTTGCCTGCCTCAGTCAGCTCCAGCCAGCATGACGTTGGTGACTTCCCATATCTTCGGGGGGAGGGCTCTTGGGCAGGGGCCGAGTCCTGGAAAGCAACTGATGGTTAAACTCAGGCAGAGGTGCTGGCACAAGGCTCTGCATTTTCTGAAGCGCAGGTTGTTTTTTTAAACCATTACCTCTGGGGTGTCTCTTTGTGCTGTGGAAAGGGGCAAGGAAAGGCTATTGAGCCACTCTGACCATTGCTCAGAAAATAAGATATTTGGAAGTCAAGGCCTTCCAGGGTCCAAATCGTAAGACACAGCATTTTTGGAGCTGCGGTCTGCACAGGAGCTTTGCCCAACCTCCCTCCAGATGGGCAAATCTAATCAGGCACTGCTGGTTTTCCCCAGGGGAAGATGATGATGATGATGAATGTGGGGAGGAGAAGCTGCCCTCCTGCTTTGACTACGTGATGCACTTTCTGACCGTCTTCTGGAAGGTCCTTTTTGCCTTCGTGCCCCCAACAGACTACTGGAATGGCTGGGCTTGCTTTGTTGTCTCCATCCTCATGATTGGCCTCCTGACAGCTTTCATTGGCGACCTGGCATCCCACTTTGGCTGCACCATTGGCTTGAAGGACTCCGTCACTGCCGTTGTGTTTGTCGCCCTTGGGACATCGGTGCCAGGTGAGCACAACCAGGGGTTTGTTGTGAAGGTCCATCTCCACCCAGGCTGGGTTTGGGGTTGAAGTTGGGGTTGGGCTGAGGAAGAACTGAGCTCTGAAAGGTCCCAAAGCACAGGTTTGAGATACGTGTGGAAATTGATTTTCAGTCTCAGATGGGCTGGAAGGATAGAACCAGGATGTGGATTCAGTCCCATGGGAATTATTTCAAGGACCATGCCACTGCAAAGACTGTGAAGTATCTATTTCTGTGAGCAGCCTCCGTGGTATCCACTTTCAGAGTTGGAATTGGTCTTTGGTTAAAATGCTGCTTGCGTTGGCAGTCCTGCATTTTAAGCATCTGCTGCTTTAACCTTGTTCCTGGGTGAATTAAGTGTGACTCCATACTCAGGGCACACTTTCCAGCATGGACACATTTGTGTGAGACCAGGTTCAGATGGATCGAGGTGAGGTTGCTGATCTAGGGGAGCTGCCTGAAATGCAACTTGTGAAATTCTGGAGATTCCCATATCAGCGTGGATAAGAGAGCCTGTGCCTTTCACTCACTTTCTCCTATGGGCTGTGCTGGGCAGGCAGAGCCTGATTTCTGAACAACGGGCTCTGACACACCTCAACCATCCATTGCATCAGTCACACCTTCCCTCACCACCTTCAAACTTCCAGTTATCAGCACACAGATGCTCAAAGATCCTGAAATTGTCCTAATCCTACTGAAGGCAAAGAGAAGTACAGAACTGAAAGAAAGAACAGATCTGGGACAAGGAACAGAAGGAGCATTTTTTTAGACCTCTGGCCAGTAGAAGCTTTAGGCAGAAGGCTTTTTCACATGTTTGACCGTCAAAATCTTCCCTCCTGTTTTTGCTGACATAAGGTGGCATTTAAGAAGTTCTTTTTTAGAATACATTGGGCTACTCTTGTCTCAGTTGGCCCCCAGGTGGTGCTGTGTTAGCTGGGTGCTGGTTGAACTCCTCCATACTCCAGGAGAAGGGCAGGCATCAGAGGAGAGTACAGAGAAATCAACACTGACAGGGACCCTCCCTGCATTGAAAGCACTGCTCAAACTTACAGAAGTGCAGGTGTTGTTTCTACATTCATCCCTTCTCCCCCAGTGGCAGCTGCAGAGCCATGGAGGCATCAGCACTGTCCCACAACTCTATTACTGCACCATGATCTATGTCTTTTCCTTCCCTTAGCAATCAGGTGCATTTCCATGGCAGCTTTTTTATAAAAATAAAGCAGACTTTTTATTTACTTTGCTGCAAATAGATCCTCTCTCTGTGCTTATATGTGCCCATCCCTTCCTGTTCCATGGAACTGGATCTTAGTGCCAGGCTGCACTTTGCCATCTCCCCTTGGAGCCCACTGGGGAGGAATGGAAAGGAAATTCTGTAGAATTAAAAAACGTGAAATATGATCTCGCTGTTTTCTTTTCATAAGCCACACTGGGCTGCCTGTACTCAAGGTGATCTGGGAGTGCAGATATGTTCAGGACTCATCTTCTCATTGTTAGCCGAGAGTGCTCACCTGAACAAACCCACGGTCTAATCTCTCCTGCTCTTCCTTCTCCCTGCAGATCCAGAGTGGGTTTGGATGTAAAATCAGCACTTCTCCGTGATGCAGATCGGTGTCATGCTGGTCTGCCAGACACAAGGTTTTCCATTAAAATAGCCAGCCAAGTTTTATCACTAGTATTAAAACTGGCAGAGCACCTGGGCAAGCATGCACCCACCCACACGGTTTTTCTTCCCAAGGGATGGAGGGTGACCTGATTTACCAAAGTGTCAGGACCTGCACAAGGCACTGGACTTCAGGGAGGCAAAAGGTGCTAGAGGCCATACTGGGGGAAGCCCTGTATTTCTGACCACTGAGATTTCTCCCCTGTGCATTTCCAGGCCCTGATGGTCAGGAAGAACCTGATGGCCCCCTGATTCCTTGGAATTTCCATTAGAAGGGGCTGTTCCTATCTCCTTACCCATTACTTTCTTCCCCCAGATGTTGCCGTTGACATTTGTCCCCAAGCTGCCCTCTTCTCCTGGGTGTTTCTTAAGGTTTTCTCCCCATCTTTCCTTTGCAGACACGTTTGCCAGCAAAGTAGCAGCAACGCAGGACCAGTACGCAGACGCTTCCATTGGGAATGTCACCGGGAGCAACGCTGTGAACGTTTTCCTGGGCATTGGGGTGGCCTGGTCCATCGCAGCCATCTACCACGCGGCGCACGGACAAGCCTTCCAAGTCTCCCCTGGCACACTGGCCTTCTCCGTCACCCTCTTCACCATTTTTGCTTTTATCAGTGTGGGAGTGCTGCTCTACCGACGGAGACCTGAGATCGGAGGTGAGCTGGGCGGGCCGCGGACTTCCAAGCTGCTCACATCCTCACTCTTTATCCTCCTCTGGCTCTTGTACATATTCTTCTCATCTCTGGAAGCCTACTGCCACATAAAGGGCTTCTAAAGGGACAAGCAGAGATAGTAAATATGTGTATATCTATATATATCTATATAGAGTGATATATAGGTATAGATATAGATATAGATATAAAGCTGTGTATAATGAACAGAGAAAGAATAAAAGAGATTTGCCATGTTCACATATCTGCTGATGGAAAGCGGCTTTGGAGCATCCTTTGAACTAGGCAGGACCCCAAAGCCAGCAGGACCCCTCGCCAGTCAGCGGCCCCAGCCAGGAGCCAGGGGCAGGGCCCTTTCTGCAAATCGACCAACAGGAACAGCCGATGGCCATCGAGCCCCTTCCCATCACTGACTCCCACCTGCTGGCCCCTGGGAAGATGGATGTGAAGGCAAGCGGGGTGCATCGGTGTGAGGAAGGTCAGAGTAGCTGGTGAGAAACAGAGCAGTGGGCAAGGGAAGGAGAGGAAAGCAAGGGTTCTGATCTCCCACCACCATCCAGCTGCCTTTGCTACTCGGGAACAGGCCCCCTGGCCCTGTTGGAGAGGAGCAAGAGACCGAACTGAAGACAAGGGGAAACTGGGAGCTTTCTAAGGACAGAACACAAACCGTTTTCGTCATTGATTTGGGGTTGGTTTTTTTGTTTCGTTTTGGCGTGTATACAACTAGCATTTCCCACCCACATGCTCCTCACCTTTCCCTGTCCATGCTTTGGGGGGCGCAGTTGCAGCCTCGTGTCCAGTGTCCCAAGCTGAGGCTGCATAGAGCGGCGGGAGCCTTCGTCCCACTCCTCTGCCTCCTCGGGCATGCTGTCATGGTACTTGTAACATTTGCATGAATGAATTGAAATCTATCTGTATATAGCATCCTATAGCGATAGTCCTTCCAATCATGTGGGTTGAGCATTGCAGATTACAAGCGTTTTCTTTTCACTGGGTTCTATTTATTTTTAGTTAGTTCGGTTTTGCCATAGGGTTTTTAATTGTTTGTTTGTTTGTTTGTTTCCTCTTAGCGGGGGTGGAAAGGATGGAAAGCTCTCCCCACTTACTACTCGTGGCGTGGGTCCATGAGAAGCAATAACAGCCATGCAGTTGTAGGTTTTCAGGGAAGGAAAACCCACACCCCAGAGACTTCAAGCTCTGTCCAGCTGTGTGGATGGAGGTCCTCTGATGTGCTGAAAGCTGGTGTGAAGGCCTCCTTTGCCTCACAGGAGGTTTTACACAAGGTCCCAGGGAGTGGGGCGAGCAGTCTGAGGGGAACAAATGTGGCTGACTCCCAGCACCTCACATGCTTCTGCCTTTCGAGTTGGTGGCTGCCTCAAAGCCCTTGGCCCCCTGCTATTCCCTGTGTCCCCAGAGGTGTACTGACAGCCACTGTTTCTGAGTGTTAAGCCATCAGGACCAGTCCCCAAAGCTGCTCCCTTCCCACAGCCATTTGGAGGCAGAATAATCCAATGTAAGGTCTGAAGGGCTGTACAAGATCTCCCACCCCTCTGAGTGTAACCAGAAAGCATTCCCCCAGGAAAAGGTCATATTTTACACTCTCTGAATCAAAAAATCACTGGACAGGATGAGACAGGGAGGTGTAACTTGGCATCACTGCCCTGATGCCAGGAGTTCAGGCTGGGGTAAAAAGGCAAGCCAGGGAAATGTGGGTGTGGACCTCCCCAGGATGCAGCACAGGGGAGACACTGGGCACTGGTATTGAGAGATGTCTTCTGACCCGATGCCCTTGCCAGGCTTCCTCACATGCCAGGCAAACTCCCAGCCTGCAAGTCCATGCAGCCCACTCAGCTGGAAACCATGTCTGATGCTTGTACCATAACCAGCTGGCTGGGAGTATTTGTACTCATCTTGAACTATCTGTGGAAATTTTAATTAAACAGCTATAAGGTTTTCTCTAGGAATATGAAGTTAAGGGGTTTTTGGTTTTTTTCTTCTCGAGCCTTTTTTCACTTTTGATTTGTTTGGGGGTTTTTCATTTTTGTTTCTCATTGTTTTGGGGGAAAAATCAAACACAGATGCAGATTGTTCAGGTTTATGATTACCTTTAGTACAATGATTTCATTTTCCTCTGTTTGGCTTCATTTTTTACTCTGTGTGTATTGCCCACCACTACAGGGAGTGAGTCCACTAATTGTGATGATCCTTATCAATGGTACACAATGCACAGAAAAATAAAGTTTGTAATGATTCCTGATGGATCCAGTACTGCTCCTGCATATTCTCTATGGAAAACCCTTCTCTCCCCTCCAGCTATTTCCCCTTTGTACCCATCTCTCCTTGACTCATTGGTTTGCCGTGTTCCTGCCACTGGCAGGGGCAGTGGTGCCTTGGCACAGCCACCCCTGCCCCATCTCATGCCCTTCCTTCCACTCCATCTCCATGATGCCTCAGGCTGCGACACAGCCAGGGCTCACAGCCCACTCCACTCTCAGGGGGATGCAGAAAACCACCCAGAGACAGAGCTGCAGGGCAACCCACCCTCCTGGGGCCAGAAGCTGCTCCTGTGCTGGCTTGCCCTAGGCTTGGGGAGTGCCGTGGGGTGTTCCCCCAAGGTACCAAGCAGCTCTTTCTTCTTGTGTCCTCTACAGAACTGCTCCTGCTCTTGCTACAGCCTCACAGTGACCTGTGCTGGGTTAAGCCATGAGCTAACTATGAGGGAGAATGCAAGAGATGCATTACCAGGGCAGGTTCCATGGGTGCCAAAGCAGGTCTGAGACATCCCACGAGGCTGGGCTGCTCTAAGAGGTGCCTGGCCATGCTCCAGACTGGGTGCCATGGGCCGTTTCAGACCCATGTGCCTCGACACAGGTCAGCCAGCACTGAGGAGGAGAAAAGTCTCCAAATGCCCAGGGATGTTGCTCCTCCCTGTGTTTCATCCAGCATCTGTTGAGCTGTCCCCAGATAAACCCTCCCTGCAGTGCTTGGGAGGTCCAGATCTGACAGCTGAACTCAAACAAGCCTTGGAGATGGGCCCCAGGCAAGCACTGCCTTCAAGACTCCCCAGCAGAGAGCACGGCCAGCAATGTCCATGTGCTTTTCCAAGGCAGCAGATTGTGAAAACAAAGCAGCTCTTCTGACCCAGTAATTGCATCTGCTGAAAGGTGATGTTGGTGTTTTCCCCTCCTCATTTGCTTCTTCAGAATGAATTGCCTTCGCTGAAGTAATTAACAAGTCAAATGGGACTTGTGTAGCCACTCAGGTTAGCAGGCAGTAAATAACTCTTCTGCTCACAGAGCTTTCCAAAGGGAATGGAGGAACTTGCTTAGGACAAGGCCTAAATCACAGGCTAAACACCATCCCTGCTCATGCAGTTGCTGTCTGCCAGATGAGAACTTTTGGGCATCTTTAACAAGGCTGTGCAGTGTGATGTGAGTGTGCCCAGTGGCTTATGGAGGGGTCACAGGGGAGTAGTGAGGGGAAGCAGCATTCCCAAGGGTGCCAGGCCTGCTGTTCTGTACAGTTTCCTCTTTAAACCACACTCTCCAAAGGCAGAAGAGAACTGCCCTCCCCAAGAAGACACCAGCACTGGCTGGGAGGCAACAGGAGGAAGAACATCCCCGGCACAGTCATGTCTTGTCACAGCTCAGCTCTGTGGATCCCCTCTCTCATGCCAGAACTCTCCCATCTCTTCCTCGTCCAGCCTCCCCACCCTTGTCGGCACAGGGAGAACAATGAGCATCTTTGATAAAGGCCTGGGTTTATGGATATTGCCAGAAGCAGCAGTTTAAACCCTTGGCCTCCATCCATCTGCCTGCTCCATTTACTCTGGCCCCTTCTCATCACCTCACCAGCCAAAGGCAAACCTTTCCATGGAAAAGGATGCAGCAGGTGTCCAAAGGACATTCAGAGACAGACACCCAAATAATTCCACAGGCTGCTGCCAAGCATGTGCCAAGCAGAAGGAACAGCCCTAACCATCTCGGACAAACCATATTGCCAGCTCTTCAGGGTTCAGTGGGCATGGAGGGAAATCCCAGTCACACACTGAACACTGGAAAAGGCGCAAAAAAAGGGAAAGAGCCGCAGATCTGCAGTGTCTCATGGCTGAGCCCAGCTGAACTGCCACCTGTGCCAGGGCAGCACAGGAGCTGCTCAATCTCAAGGTGTGAACCCCTCAGCTCCAACCAAATGAGGCTCCTACCCCTGTGGTGCCTCTGGGGCGAGGAGTGATCGCAAGATTCGTTTGTGAATCTTCATCCCCACTCCCTGAAAGGACAGAGGGAAGAAGAGAGGCCTGGAGCCTGCTGTAGTCACGAGCCTGGCTGTGAACTCACTGCACTATTTCTGATGGGGGCAGGGACTGGGGAGCCAGAGCCCTGTGTTATTGTTACAGTTATTTTTAAATTCTTGGGTAAGAATCATCAACATCGGTGGCCATATACATAACTCAGGAGGAAGTTCAACTACATTCCTGGAGAGACAGAGCTGAGCATAGCCAGAAAGTGACAGAAAACTTAATGCTGGATGGTGTAATTCTAGGACAAAGCCTTGCATTATTTTCTGTAGGCTTTGGTGCCCAAGACCACCTGGAGAAATGTGTTTGCAGAGCACCTGGAACCTCTCTGGTCTCTCTGAGCATGCAATGACCAACTACTGGTGTCTACACATGTGCTCAGCACAGCTGTGGAAAAACCTGTTTATCTTGTAAAAAATTGACTTGCACAGGAAATCACCCAGAGGCATCCTTATTCAATAAAGGGATAGTAAATACAGTGAGATTCCTCACCTTTTAAGAACGTGAGCCTTTCTGCTATTGGAACTGGAGGTGCCAAGAACCTCTTGCCAGCCAGCAGCACCCTTCACACAGAAGGAAGGGATACTGCAAGGGAAAGGGGCCTGCCTGGCCAAGTAGGAGCTGTTATCAGCAAAGATAGACAGGAGCTTGCTTCTCCCAGCAGGATTTTCTGCCTGTGGGATGCCCCTGAGAGCATCCAAGGAGTCTCCACAGGGTCTTGCTCTCTCTCTCTCTGGAGCATCTTGAGTCTTGCCCTTGGGACCCAGTGCCCCCAGGGTGGTTCACAGCCTCTCCTGCAGGCTCTGCACTCTCCCTTGGTTCCTTCCCCTTTTCCAAAGGGAATGCCAGCTTGGTGCTGCCCTCACTACGGGTGTGGAAGAGGGCACTGGGGCACCCACTGTTCTCAAAGCAGGTGCTGTGGAGCCACTGATGGAACTGGGTGTTCCAGTGGGATGCCCAGCATCGGAGGGCATGGGGAAGGGACAAGGGTCTCACCTAGATCTGGAAACCTTGTTCAAGCACTGCCACAGCATAACCTTTGCCATGGCTGCCAGAGCACAGGCATGCACCTCGATTTTTGCACAGGTACAGCACAGCCTCCAGCTTCTCTGGCTGTCCATGGGCACCAATCCCAGGCAGTGTTTTTATCTTTTTGATCCAAAACAGCCCTTGGCCTGTTGTACTGCACCAGGAAAGCTTCCTGTCCCTCCCAGTACACAGCCTCACCCCTCAGTTCAGAATCCTCACAGTTCAGGTGGCAATGGGAAGGACCATTAGTGACGCACCATTAGTGACCCCACCTGGAGTCCTCCACATTCTGCCTCGAGTCATCTAATGGTCCCAAAATCGCTGTCTATGCTCAGGACAATCCAGCCTGCAGCTTGTTCTGTGCTTGCCATGAAGCCTCTTCACATTTCATCTTTTCCCAAGCTCCCTGCAGAGAAGCATTCTCTGTCCCTCCCTCCTGCCCCACAGCTGAGGGTTTCCTGTGTGGGATAGATTTCCTTTCTCACTGCATTGAACAATGACACTTGTTAGCTCAGCCTTGCTGTCTGTGTCTCAAGGCAAAGATGAACCACCCCACACGGTGGACCTGAGCCCCTACAAACCAAGGAGCAGACAAACTTCCACACAAACCTTAGCATGCTGAGCCCCTCCTGCTCATCACCCAGGCACAGTCACACCCAGA